TTTATCTCGTTGGATGTGAGAGCACGCTCGAGGGTGAAAGTGTGTGTCGAGTGGATTTTCAAAATTTAATGACAAAATATAATCTTTATAATTTATTTATATAATGATATAAAATAATTTTTTTCTTTTTTATTTATTTTTTAATTTATTCTTTTTATCTTTTTTTCTTCTATTATTTAATTAAAATTCTTATATTAAAATAATTTTTTCAATATTAAAAATACTTAAATATTAATTTTTAAAATTACTTTTTAAAATTATTTAATTTAACAAATTATTATAAATTGATCTAATTATGATTAAGGGTGCAGCTATTCCAACTTGGGCGATAGAGGTTGATTCACTGTAGTTTGATTCGCCGAGTGAGGGACGCGAGGATGGGTGAAGGGAAACGGAGGTTAGGGATTCGATTGGGGAACGAGATTGGAGGGACAGTGGTTTTCGCGACTGCAATGGGGGCAAGGGAGTAGGCAAGGAAGGTTTTGGTGAGGGGATAGCTGGAAGTGGCGGAGCTGGGTTCCGATGGTTGAACTGGGCGTGACTGGCTTGCGGTGGGCAATTGATGTGGTACAGTCAAGGGGCAGGAGAATGGATTTGGGAGGTTGGATCTTGGTAATGGCTGGAAATGAGGAGCAAGGGAAGAATGAGTGAAAATGGAGGTTCCCGTGGGGAGGCGAGCCTATAAGGGAGACAAATGTAGAAAGTCTGTTTAAAATTTTTATTAATTATTATTTTTTTAAATAAAAAGACTTTCCACATCGGTTCATCCGGGAACCGATGTGGAAAGTCTTAAAAAAATTTCAAAGTTACTACCACGTCACTTTCTACATCGGTTATTTAAGAATCGATGTAGAAAATCCGATGTAAAAAGTAGATTATGTACTAGTGTATATGAGTTTGAAACATAATATTTATCTTTCGATAGATAGATATATAGTGAGTTAGATATAATATAGTGTAATGTGGTGTGACTTGATGTGTATGTGATATTAATATATGTATTGCAATGGTTAGTTATATTATTTGAATAATTTAACTTACTTTTGTTGTCTTATCTGCATGATTTAACTACTATGATCGTATTTATTATAGGGAATAAATGATATTGCATAGGGATGACAATTAAACTAATACTCATGGGGATCGATCCATTCCCACCCCGAGTTTGATGGGGAAAAACCGAATTGACCGAGGGTGGGTTCAAGTTTTCCCCGCTTTAAAAAGTCGAGGGCGGGAGCGGGGATGAGTAATGCAATCCCTACCCCGACCTCGTTCCAGTCTCCGCCTTGACTTTATATTTAAATTTAAATTTTAAAATATTAATATTTTAAAAGTATTTTATTTTCTTTTTCTATTATATATAAGGTCAAATTTTTATATTTTACCATTTTTACTTTTTTTCTACCCACTTTTTAATTGTTTTTAATCTTTTATATCAATTAGTTTATTACATTATTCTCTTTCAACCTTTCAGTTTTTCACAATCTCTCCAATCAAATAGTTTTTTTTTCAATCTTTTCAATCAATTTGATGAATACAAAGTTATTTTTTTCTTCTTTATCTTTTTCTAAATATTTTACCTAAATCTTAGTAATAACTAATATTATTTTATTTATAATTTATATTTATTAGGTGTTATCATGTCATATTTTTTGAATCTTATTATTCTTATTTGTCATATATCAAATTTTATCTTAATAAAATATTTGTATTTTAAAGGATTAAAAAAATGATAATTTAAACTTTTATTACTTCGAATTAATTAAATAAGAATTAACTTATTAAATATTTCCTTATAAACTATATATTTCATATTTCTAAATGACAACTTAAAAATGAATTAACTTATATATAATTAAATATTTGAATACAGTATAATAATAATAATAATAATAATAATAATGTTATAAGTATTCAAATGTTTGAATACAATGTTATAATAATAATAATAATAATAAAATATTTCTTTTACATACATATTTTAATATAAATATAATAAATTAAAATATATATATATATATATTTAATTAATAATAATTACAAATTGTAAAATTATAAATATTTATTTATATATAAAAAAATATATAGTAAAATTAATTTATTATAAATAGAAGTATCTTTTTAAACATAATATAGATCAAGGACAAGACGAGGGCAGAGAAACTCGAAACTCAACAGGGATGGGGACAAAGACTTAATTTCTAACTCCGTGAGGATCGAGGACACGTGACCGGGATGGTTAAAAAGTCGGGAGTGGAGATCGGGAGGCAAAACCCACCGGTTGCCCTGCCATTGCAAGAGAGAATCTTATATATATATTGCAATTGGTAGATATTATTTAAATAATTTAACTTATTCTTATTTTATTATCTTAATTTAATTATTCCGATCATATTAATTACACAAGAACAATAATATGACGAGATGATGTGAACATGACCTATGATAAGGGCTAGAGCAAGGGAAACAAAGGAAGCTCTTCAACAAGTATTGTTGGTTGACCAAATTGTGTTTTGGATTAATCAATTAATGGGCTTTAGTTTGGTTTTATTGTAAGTTGTAATAAGGACCTAATTGAAAATTTAGTTATCAATCTTTGGGAGAACAAGAGGGTGCATAGCTGATTAACTTTTGGATGCCACAATTTCAGTTACAATCAATCATTAAGTAGTTTCAATTCCTAGGTTAATGGATCATTATTAGCCTTTATTTGTTTTCATTAAATAATTTTCAATTCCTAGATTAATGGGTTATTATTAGTATTTATTTTCTTTAATTGAGTCTTTGTAATTCTGATGACAACGTTTCTATATCAGCTGAACCATTTTTATCAAGAAATAACAAGTGGAATTTTATTCAGAAATATTAGAGTTTATCTCTTTTATCTTAGTGAGAGTGATTCTCCTAAATTCTTGAGTGATTCAAGAACTCATGGCTATATCAAAGGACTTTCACATCCTTTGTGTGTTGCCTCCCTTGGGAAGAGTGATTCTTTCCTTCCACCTTCTTTCTAATTCTTAAATTTCTTACAAGGTTCTAACCCTAAAGATCCTAAATTATCCCTTGTGATTCATATCAACAGAAGATGTCAAACTTAAACCATAGGAGTAGTTCAAAGTATAGTTACATATTATATATATATATATATATATATATATATATATATATATATATATATATAAATATATTCTTGAATTGTGATTTTATATTGATAAAAAATTATTTTATCAAATACTTATATATAGGCTATTTTTATAATGCAAGTTTATTTTACACTATGATATAGTATAATATTAACGATTTTTAAAATAGTTACAATTGTATCTCCTAAAAATATGCTTGAAAAAAATGTAATCAATTTCATTTACTAAATTATTAAAATTAATTTCTTTACTATTATAAATTAGTTTAAAATCCAAATTAATTTTATTAAAATCAATTATATAAACATATAAAAACAATAACAAATTATGCATTAAAAATGCAAAATTTGTTCAATTGATCACTATTAATTATATTTAGACAAACAATGTTTGGATTAAGGCGAGGAATGGAAGAAGTGAATTTGAGGTGATTTATAGTGTATTGGATTAACGTAAAGATAATAAATTTGAAGGGATTTAAGTTAATTTAGCTGGTGTGATTGATGTGATGGAATATAAAAAAGTTGAATAATAATTTTTTTAGTGTAATAACCAAAATACTCTTGTTGTTGAAATAGATAAATTAAGTAAAACTTATAATTATGATATAATTGAATATAAAAATATTAATTAATTTATATTGTACATAATATTTAAATATATTAATATTATTTTATGTATCAACTATAATTAAAATTATTTTATATATTAAGTATAAAATATTTTACTGTTGTAGTTTAAATTATATATTTAAAATTTTTTATATTTTGAATGAGTATTTAACAAAGTAAAATTGTATTACATTAATAATAATTTATAAGTTGTCGAACATTATTTGTTGCATGTGTTCATGAGCCTCACATATTAAGTTCATATACATCCCTGACACATTAGTATTGAATTCTCCTTCTTCTAAATCCATGTATTCTTTATTTTGTTTACTTAAATTAATTTTGTTTAATTATGTTCAATTATGCATGCCCTAATCACACATAGCCCCATCATTAAAAATAATTTTGTAATCATGAAATGGAATAAATTTAACAAATCAAGTTATTTAATAGTACATCAAATTGAAAATATTTTTTTAAATTAAAATTTAAAAAATACTAAGTTCTTAAAGACAAGTAAAATTCATTCATTTCAATCACTCATTTTTTTAGTCCACACCAAATTTAACCAATTTCATTAAAATTGATAAATTTGTAAGTTCATTATTCCATTTTTTATGCATAGGAACGCCAACAACTCCTTATTTTCTTTCTCATGTAAATCATCCACTCCCCACAAATCCTCATTCTTCTGGTTATATGCTCACTTTGTATGGAGCACCCCAATCTATGCTCATCTTGCAACTATTGGATGACATCCCAACATAAACGACTATGCTATCATGATACACAGTTCAGGTGTGACCATGGACAATCACTATGAAGGTTCACCATGGGCAATCACCATGGAGGTTCACCATGGCAACTCACATCTTGAACAACCACATGTAACAATGTCACACGCATATTCTAATGAAGGAAATGACACACGGTCTTCTTTTTCATACAAGATAAAAAAAGATATCAACGCCCATTAATGGCAACAAGGAAGGGGATGAGTTGAGAGGTCACATATTCAAATATGCAAGTCTCAATAATCGATTATAGGTGACATCTTAATCAAATATGTCTTAGCCCATATTCGATTATGCATTGTTGCATAATCAATTATGACTTCATGCATATTCAAATTATATAGGGTGATATAATTGAATATGCCCTCTTACAAGGTCATCATCCACTACTATGCAACTTTTCATCAACAATTGTAATGGAAAGGGAATACACAGTTGGATGGAACACAAACTTTCTCACTTTCGGTCACCTTTGAGGTTTAGAAAACTTATTTACATTGCTGGTAATGGAGGATGCTGCGAGAGAGAAAAAGAAAGCATGTAATGTAGTGTCGTTGGTGGGGTGACATTTATAGATGTTGATGAAAGAGGTGAATGTTGGAATAGTTGAATCTCCAACGATCCTCCTCACATGATCAATGAATAGGGGATGCAGGACCAAACATACCTACAAAAGGCTGGTTTTGGATACCTCTGAATCATTGGATTGAGGCAAATCCATACAACTACACAGATTCAAATAAAAGTGCATTTGCCCAAATCTCCGCTTACAAATAAGCTTGAATAGTAAATTCTTAAAAACAAACAAAGTGTTAAGGTTTGTTGGGTTGGAGAAAAGGAGAAAAAATATATGGAAGAGTGAGTGGTTTTATAGAAATGAAATGTGCAAAATTGGTTCACTTCAACAACGTTCAAGTTTTGTCTGGTCGAAGGGTAATAGAGAAAAGAAAAAAACATGGAAGGTTATGTGGTTTGGTGAAAATGAATGGTGAAGAAGAAGAAAATAAAATAAAAATTAAAGTACTTTTTTCACATAAACTAAAGATGTAAAATTTCAACTTTAAACAAACAAAAAATATTCATGTTAACTAGGGTTGATTATCTAATTTTATAATTTATTATATATATATATATATATATATATATATATTATAATAGTTATAAAAACTAAATAATTAAAACATCTCATTACTCATCTCATTTAATGTTTATTTGCTACACGGCATATGAATAAATAAATAAGGGTTGATTTTTTGTAGAAGATAATGTAATTTTCTTAAAAAAATTATGAAGAAAAACATGATAAAATTAATTATATCATTTTTTAATCATAATTTAAGTTAAAACTAACTTTATAATCAATTATGAGAATACATAATCAATCATAAAAATATATAACTAATTGTGAATGTTTTCTTTTCATTTTTTTATTATTATAGCAATAATAATCAATAATTAAAAAATATAAAAATAATTAATAAAATTATTAATAACAAATAAACAATATCATTTTTTTTATATTCACTCACTGAATCTCTATAATGTTAATCAAATAAAGAGTTGACATGTTCTTTGTTTTCTATTTATCTTCCTCTTATACTAATAATGAAAAGGCACATACTATTTAATATTTACAGAAGTAATTAATGTGCTTTTACTCCCATGTAGAAAATGAAATTTATCATTCTTGAAGAATGGTCATTCATCAGAGACACAAACTTTAATAATGAGAACCACAAGTCAATGCATTCATATGGTAACCCTTTTTTACATTTTTAACAAGTTTTCTTATTCATCATCCATGATGCACAAAATTGCATGCACATGATATAACCAATCATCCATCCACTACCATATTACAAAAAAATATCTACACTTACCTAGGTGTATAATTTTGTACTGTTCATGATTTACATGGCTTTTATGAAATGTTCGCAACAAGAATGAACAACCAAGTATAACAACAATATAACTTTTTATTATTATTATTTTAGTGGTAAACATTTTGGTTGTTCCTCTGACCCTTCACCACACAACAAACTCATGTAATAAGTGAGGATTACCAAACTTGTTTTGTTGCTTTTCTTGGTCTGTGAAATGGTAATCTAGCAAATCAGCCTCTGGGGAAGAAGCCAATGTTTTCTTACGTCTTCTGTGCATGTCATCATTGGACACACCAAACCCTTCACTTTCACAGTTCCTCAATTCCAATGCAAGTGACACATGTCCACCCACACCAATGTTACCTAACTCTGTTAAATCATAAGTGACAGCTATAGGAGCAATTGTGCAGCCTTCACCATAATAAGAAGTATTATTGTTCATGTTGAACCTTTGGTCATCATGCAGTTTCTCAATTCTAGAATCCATGGCCTTTCCGTCATGATCACTACTTTGGATTCCTCTGTCCAATTCTGAGGCCTGATCCAACTTCAATCCATGATGCTGAATAACACTATCATCAACTGTTATTAAGTTGTCACGAGACTCTTCCTTTTTATTGTCAGATTGAACATCATCTCTTGGAGCTTTCAGTGTGTTCTCTGATGATAACAGATTGCTGCTCATCTCAGAATCGCCAAATTCTTCTTTGTACATTTCTTCAACCATAGGCTTCCAAAGTCGCACTCTTGCATTAATGAACCAATTTGTCACCTGACAGAAATCAAATGAAGATTAGCAAACATGACACAACAAGACTAAAACTTTAGGGGGTCACTAATTTTCACTGTTGGATTCCCATCAAAAACAAATTTTCAGGGAATATATTTAGACATTTAGTGTGTTTGAGTTAGCTCATTTTGGAGAAATAACTATTTTTTAAGTTTAATCCATGTATAGTTAGTGTAAGAAATTTTAAAATGTCAACTATCAGTTTTCAAAGAAAGATTTATAAAAAATGATTATTTGCACACAATTAATGATTCCCAAACATGCACTAATAGAATGTTCTGTAACTTAAAAAACAGTAACTACTGTACCTGATTTCTTGTTAAGTCAGTTTGCCTAGCCAGCATAATTTTCTCTGAATCCTTTGGATAACTGGAACCAAATGAAAATTGCAAAATAATGACAAGACAAAATACAATGAATGAAACAAAAAATAGATTACGTACAGGGAGGGGGACTTACGGATGAAGGAAATGTTCAAAGAGCCATGCACGAAGTATAGAAACAGAGGTTTCAGGAAGTCCCCTCTGAGGTCTCCAAGCTTGTCGCATTACACCAAGTTGCTGAAGAGCCTTTTGTTGCCTAAGCTGCTGATCAACATTGCGGAGACGAGGTATCCCTTCTTGTTCTCCAAGGCTCTTTTGAGTCACTAGAATTTGGCCACTGATGGCATCGCGCAAACACCGGAAGTGGCGTGATATTGTGCGCAAGGCAAGTGCAGTGTATGGTTCAGCTGCTCCATAACCAGCAACCGTATCAAAAGATGAAACCACTATCTGCATCTGGTGGCAGTAATGTCTGTATCGTTCATCAACCTGCCAGAGCAATGAAAAACCCAAGAGTTAATTCACAAGCTAACACTGTCATCGCCATGTATGTTGATCAATCATTAATCCTGCAAAAGTATAAAACTAACTAAATTGCATGACTGAAGATCAACCACAGAGACAGTTGTTTTACTCTTTTATTCAATTCACTGCTATTTACTAATTAGTGTTACAAATCTTAGCAATATATAGCACTCTCAACAAATACACTTTTCCAGGAAAAAATTAACAAATACAAAATTAGAAAGTTGTACAGGTTGTGAAGAATAACTTTACACCAAAGTCTACCCTGTTAGGTAAAATGTTTATTTGGAACATGTTTGAAATGATTATCTTCAGGAAAACATTATTTTATTTCTCCTAACTCTCGTCCAAAAAATACCAAAATAAACATGTTCTGTACTTGAAAATAGACAATACACTTACACTAAGTATTTTATGAAACACAAACTTGAAAACCAACTACATGAAATATAAAAGATCTGGGACAGACCAAGGCATATATATCAATAGAATAGAAGTAAGAACTGTACTTCAATGCTACAAAGTCCGCAAGCTTACCTCATCCAACATAGACAAAAGTTTTGTTTTCTTGTCCAGCAAATTATGTCGTTCTGCAGGTGATAGATCACGTGAAGAATTTGCAGCAGAACTACTGGGGCCTGAAGATATCTGCACTGATTGGCTGTTAGATTTACCTTCAGAATCCTTGGAGCCATCTAAATCAATATCACGGAAACTCTGTTGCTTCTCTAAAGCAGTTTGCTTCGAAGCTTTTCGCACATTAACTATTTCATCAAGCAATTCCTGTGCTGCCTTGAGGTATTGTGAGTTCAAGACACTGCTGGGAAAGCCTAGCGATCCATCGCTTTGGCCTTCACTGAGGCACATTAATGGGTGTGGTGGTGTATACAACAAACCATCCCTTTTGTGATAGCCACAAGAAGCTAAAGATGCCATGCACTCAGTATTTCTCAATTCCATTTGTAGACTGGCCTCATCATCTTTAACAGATGAAGTACCCTTTAAATTTGGGACAGAAGCAGTCATTAGTGGAGAGAATCCGGTGCCAGGATAATGGTATGGAAAGGTAGGGACTGATGCAATAGAAGGGATCACAGATCCAAGGCTAAGAGACAAGCATTGGTTATGTACATTTTGCTCACTGTCCACAAGTCCCAATTGTGTTGTCCTTGGAATAATATGGGAATGGGAATCTCCGGCATTAGCAAAAGTGTCTTGATCAGCTGCGGCAGCAGCATTTGAATGCCCATGAATAGATTGCATAGTCATTGTGTCCCTCATATATGTCATGAATTTCAACTCATTTTGTCCTCCAACATTTTCACTGTAGTTATAAGGTAAAAGAGGATTTCCAGACAACATATCTGCATAGGACCCTGAAGAAAACGCTTGGTTTTGATACATTGTAAAATTTATAACTGAAATTCGGATGTGCTTGTTTCTGGTCCCTTTACAACTGAGTCAGAAACATCTCTTTCGCAGCTTAGGTTCAAGAAACCAGTAGTGATGCCGTGCTAAATATATGATGCTACCTCTGCTACAATATTGCGTCAAGGATGGTGATGTTGCTTAAACAAAAGCTCATCACAATACAAAACCTAAATTGGATTAAAATAATCCAAAAGGAGGAAAAAGTTAACGAAAAGAAAGATTAACAAAATAGAAGACACGTATGATCCAAGGAAAAGAATACGTTGTTATAAAGCAAAAGCACCACACCATAAGTAAAAGCAATCGGAGACTCATTATATCACTATCTATAGCCTACATATGTATATCTATAGTATAACCGTGCAGCTTCAATCATTAATCACAAAGCATTGGCTTAAACTTCAAACGACGTGAGGAATTAAAAGGGGTCTGGCTAAAAGGATACTTTCATTACCATAGATTAAGAAAGAAAAGGCTTTGTTTACCCTGTTTAGTAAATTGACTAAAGGAAGCTTCTTTCATTTTTTATTTTATTTTATTTTTTTTGCGTTGTTTTTTCGGGTTGCAAGTCAAAACCGGATGTACGTGGTAGCAGAAAACGATGCAGACAAAGCTGAAAACGAGGTGTAAAACCAAAACCCCGTAAGCATAATTGGCTTCGAAGTTCAAATCCTATGGTAGTGGTAGTGGGGGTGGTGGTGGAAACACGGAAGTGAAAACCACAGGAGCAAGGTCAAGTTCAGAACACACAGAAAAAAGAGAAATTGAAGAGCGAAAAAATGAAAGCTACACGAGAAGCACTGCAGCGGTCAATAAATAACAGAAGACAATCATGAGTGAAACATTCGAACCCTTAGCAGCAGAATTTCAACTTTTGCACTCCACAGTAGCTTTAACATTCTAATTTCAACTTTTAATTATGAAAAGTGAAAGCCCCACCACCCCTCTTGTTAGAACAAGAGTTTATAACCAGGAGAAGGACCATCTACCATCATAAACCACAAACAGTGCACACCATCATCATAGTCATCTCCAGTCTCTCTTTTTTAATTATTTTTCTCATTATGCAGTGTTGTAGGCAGAAGACAAAGAAAGAAAGAAGAAGAAAAGAGAAATACCTGAAGGAGAAAGAGAAAGGAAGGAGCAGGGTGGAGTGTGAAGGGTAGGAGAGAAGAGGTTAAGAGCAAAATTACAGACAAGAATCCACAGTTTGGGGAAGCCCAGACAAATGGCAATCCCAAGACATATAAATTTCAAATTATCTTTGGAACAACCAGCTGCACCAACCAATGAACAACAAGAGGATCGTCTGCATCTTATACATCATTTATTTCTTTCTATTAATTTAATCTTCTGCGTCGTCTATTAAAATAAAAATCAATGTTACAAACACATTTGATTTTTGTTTATATAATGTATATAATTTGAGAGAAACTATTATGCCAATTATCATGATAAAATGGTAATTTTAATTAGCATGTTTGTTTGGTAGTGGGTAATCAATAAAAAATTTCTAGAATGTGTTACGAATTTATTTGTTGACTGAGTAAATTTCTTTATAAACTCATATACAGTAGATTTATTTACGGAGTAGATTTTGTTAGCATATGAACTTAATTATTTAATATAGTCTTGTAATAATAAAAATATAAATTTTAGTAATGATGAAATGATTGTTTATTATTTATTTTTATACTATTAAAACATTGAATGAGTATGTCAAATGTATATATATATATATATATATATATATATATATATATATATATATATATAAATTAATTTCATAAGAAGTATATTTTTATGAATCGAATTAAGTTTACAAAATGTCTATAAATCTACATAAACTGCCAAATATGATAATCATGATAGTGAAGTCTCTAAAGTGATGAAAGAAATTTTCTTAATACAATGTGACTCTAAAATATTTATCATGAACTAAATCCATCAAAATTTTAATATTTCAATTTACAAATTTGGATATAAAACTAGTTTCACTAAAAGTTAAACATTTGTGTAAAACTCGTTTATTAAACTTTTACACCGCAAGTTTATGTTTTTCAATGAGATACTATTTTGACAATCATTTTTTACATACAAGTATTTGACAATTTTTTTATAATAATACAATAATAAAATGTATATCATAAAAATTTATTATTATTATTATTATTATTATTATTATTATTATTATTATTATTATTATTATTATTATTATTATTATTACGAAGATGGTCAAATATATGTGAACAAATTGGTTTTGAAAGAACAATAGGACTTTGTTAGTTTCCAAGATATATATTGTTGTTTGAAATAGAAGAAAGAAATATGTTGACAAACATCAACAAAACTCTCAAAATATGATGTGTGACAAGAATTGTAGTAGTAGAATAGAAGGGTGGAAGATGAAATGTTGTAAATAGAGGAATGAAATTGAAGCATGGAATAGAATAGAAGATTTGAGAGGGTGGTTGATTGGTTGATTATATTGCTTGGAAGTGTTCAAACCCTAACCACCAGTTGGTGGAGCTGAAATGTAATGCAATATAATGTATGTTGGTGTAACCCTTTTCCTTCTTAAGCCTCCTCCTTCACTTAACTTAACTCACAAATCACACAAAATCTTCTTCCTCTTCTTGCCTTTTAGGATGTGAAGGTTGGGTGGATTGATTGGGTATTGGATGATGAAGAAGAAGTTGGTGAAAGTCACAAAATCACGCTTTTACGTGTATGCTTCATGTCTTCTAACCCTAACCACAAAACCCACTGATCCATTGCAGGCCACCTCTCATTAATGACTAACTATCATTAATTAAATAATTAATTATTAGGTCGAGGGGTGTTATTATAAACAACTTCTGAGGGCAAAAGTTATTAGTATATGCTTTGTTAGTTATTAGCTGGCTAGATGGATGCAGAGAGATATTGAATCATTTTTATATATATAATAATTACTATGTAATACTAGTGAAAAATAATTGATTTTAATTTTCTTTATGTAATTTGATGGTTGTATATGGCCACGGTTTACAGGAAATCAATATCCAATAATAATTTATATACATCATTATTAATAATTCATTTACAAAATTAAAAATCTAAAATAAATAATACATCATATATATAAAAATTAAATTATTATAACAATGACATCAACACACTTTTACTTTTAAATAGAATATTGACAATCTACATTCTAAAATGGTAAAATTTCATTCTCACTAGTACAGAAATCACTTTTAACATCGGATTTTCCACATCGGTTCTTTAAGAACCGATGTAGAAAGTGAATTCAAGACTTTCAACATCGGTTCCAGATGAGCCGATGTAAAAACACTTTCTACATCGGTTCCCAGATGAACCGATGTAGAAAGTCTTTTATAAAATTAAGAGAATTGTTACTTGCGAGATTCGAACCCAATACCTTGAAATCGGAAGTCGATACTCCAACTACTAAGTTACCAAGATTTTTCGATAATAAGTTATACATAAATTATATTTATATACAAATAAAAATGTATATCCATGTAAATATATAAATATAAAATATATAAATACAAATACAAATATATTTATATATTTATATGTTGGATGTGAGAGCGCGCTCGAGAGTAAAAGTGTGTGTCAAGTGGGTTTTCAAAATTTGATGTCAAATTTGTGAGCAAGTTTCTTTATATGAATTTGTAATTTAATGATAGAATATAATCTTTATAATTTATTTATAATAATATAGAATATAATCTTTATAATTAATTTATATAATGATATAAAATAAAGAAAAAAATTATTTTATATCATTATATAAATAAATTATAAAGATTATATTTTGTCATTAAGTTATAATCCATATAAAGAGACATGCTCACAAATTTGACATCAAATTTTAAAAATTCACTCGACACACACTTTCATCCTCGAGCGCGTCCTCACATCCAACATATAAATATATTTGTATTTATATATTTTATATTTATATATTTACATGGATATACATTTTTATTTGTATATAAATATAATTTATGTATAAGTTATTATCAGAAAATCCTGGTAGCTTAGTGGTTGGAGTATCAGCCTCCGACTCTAAGGTACTTGGGTTCGAATCTATATATAGGGTAATTAGAGATGTGTTATGAATAGATAAAATAAAAAAAAATATTAGACTTTCTACATCGGTTCCTTACAACCGATGTGAAAAGTCACACTTTCTACATCGGTTCTAGAATCGATGTTAAAAGCCTATTTTGTACTAGTGTCTTATTTATATTTTTTAATTTTTTTATCCATAATTAAATTTATCTATTTTAATATTGTTTACTCTTTTATATATATATATATATATATATATATATATATATATAATTCCATCTCTAATTAAAAAAGAGAAAAATGTTTAATGATAAGGTAGTTTTAAAATAAAATTATAAAAATAGGATAAATTTATTATTTTGAATTAAATTAATCATTTTTCTTAATAGAAGATATATAAGTGATTGAATTTTAAATCAGGAACGGAAAGTAAAAATATTAGGTTAAATATATGATGACATTAAGGCAACACTTTTTTTGGACGGCGTCCACGAGCTTTAATAAAACTTTTCCGGACCATATTATTAAAAGTCTAAACTGAACAGCACTTGACTATTCTTATCAATCGAGGTTCTCTGAGGTTAATCACATCCATCACAGTTCTCTCTTCTTGATTTTCCTTATTAAATTATTTTAATTGATTTAATACAAAACCACGTATTAAATAATTTCTAATAATATATTATGATACTGTCTTTTTATTATAATAAGATTATATTATAAACTAGTTGTTCGCGTATCCAGATAGTAAGGTATTAATTAAATTTGTAACGAGGAAGACATATCCACAACATTACACATAATTGAACCTAGCTTCTGGTAACTTTTCAAATAAAATAATTGCATAAATTCATATATTATTTTTTACAAGTAACTGAAGTGCTTTT